GCTCGCATGTGTTTGCTGGAGATGTTTGCTCCATCAGTGTGCTGCAGCTGCTCTCTCCACCCCTCTGCTCCAACCCTCACCTCAGAAGAGGCCGCCGTTTACAGAAATGAGATGTCCAACATGATAAAACCCAAATCAAACTGTCCTTCTTCCTCAGTTCATGCACCAGCAGCTGCTGCAGAGCAGTGAAACAGGAAGAGTGTGGCTTCATCAGCGGCGCTGGGGGGTGGGGGGGTTGGTGATTTGGACCATGCGCGGGATGATAAATTAACACGAGCAGCTATCTAAACCCTGGCACTTTGTGGCGGCGGCCGCAGACTCGCCCGCTCTGCCAGACGCTCGGCTCTGGCGCCGGTTATCGCTGGAGGCCGAGTTCTGCTCTCCAAATCAGTTTGGCGCTCCGACGAGCGAGCGTGGCAGGTGAACGCTGGAATCCACCAAACGCAGCTGATGGAAAACCTGCTCCAGATAGAAGTCACACTCGAACTCTGGGAAATATGCGGCGCGACTAAAACATGGCAACAGGAAGCTGAATTTTCTCATTAAACCTCCAACAGGATCGATCGGCGTGCACCGACTAACAGCTTCATCGCCGAGGCCACGTTCAGGAGAACACCCCCCCTCCCCCGTTCTCAGGGCCTAACCATAACACTGCTCCCCTCACCCCCACCCCCCCATCCATCACATCCATCTGTTTTCGTACCCGCTGGTGTCTAAGCACAGACACACCTCCCTCTTCAAAGCCAGCCGCGAGACATCGTCTCCTCCAGGTTGGACACGCTTGAACCTCCTCCCGTGGGAGACATCCATGAGGCATCCTCGCCTCCACTTGGTGGCGTGGCGGTTGCGGTGTGGGCCCAGCCTCCCTTCAGGTGAAGCTCGTTTTTCCCTCCTCGGTCTCACTCCTGTGGTCAGGACGCAGAGCTCGTGGCCATATGCGAGGGCAGCTCAACCAATAAAGACAGCTTCACCTTCACCACAGCCTCCATCAGTCTGCCAGTCGCCTGCTCCACTCCCCTCCACCCAGAGTGGGCACTCCACCCTTTTCCATCAGAGAGCGTGGGCCAAACCTAAACAACGACAAACGATGACGTCATCTGTTCATATGTGGACGCTCTATAGTCAGACACTCGGTTCTCCTGGAGGGAATTTCTCCACCTTTTCACTGCTGGTTGGTTTTTTCCACCAGCTTGTTTTTTACCTCTTTGATGCCGAGCAGGCCGTAACGTGAGTAACATAAAAACAGCTCAGCGTGTGGACGGAAAACCAAAACTTCAGGCTGAAAGACACTAAACTGCTCTCCAGAGTTAATAGAAAACACGAGTGGGCTGCTAAACCACTCCGAATGACAGCTTTCGGATTAAACACAGTCATTTAATCCTTTGTTCAGATGAAAATATTGATTTGGTGCTGCTCTGAATAAACTATTAGAAGCATGTTTATACTCTGACAACAGACCACAAATCACAGCCAGTGAAAAACGGTCGATATCACAGCAACAAGACAAAAAATTGCATTCTGTAATTAATCTAAAAGCAGGAATACAGACAGAAAAGCACAATTTAACACACACCAGTCAATAAAATCCAAATTTGAGACCTTGAGAGGAGAAACTGCAGCAGAAATAAACTCCACCGTTTTCACCCGGTGCTGGTCTGAGAGCGATCGCTCGGCTTAATCAAAGCCGCCGCTCGTCAGAATAAAA